TCATGCAATCATAAAACTGTATTGGAAAAAGTATGTAACCCTCCCTTAAAAAATCAGCACCTGGGGGTCAGCCTGGTGGCGCAAGTGGTTGGGTGCGTGTGCTCCACTGCGGCGGCCCAGGGTTCACCGGGTTGAATGCCGGGTGCACACCAATGCACCGCCTGTCAAGCCATGCTGTGGCAGCGTCCCATATAAAGTGGAGGAAGACGGGCATGGATGTTAGTCCAGGGCCAGTCTTCCTCAGCAAAAAGAGGAGGATTGGCAGATGTTAGCTCAGGGCCGATCTTCCTCACCAAAAAAAAAAAAAAAAAAAGTCAGCACCTGAATGATTTTAAGCTTTTTGTTCATTATAAAGATTTTGTCTTTTCATTTTGTTTTGTTCATTTTAAGGAGTGTTCATTATAAGAATTAGCACATAATTGTAATTATAACCTAAATGTTGTGATGTTAACTAAATGAAAGATAAAATAATTTCCCTAATTTTTAGATCCATTTTTGGAGTTAGAGACCCAACCTCTTTTATTTTGTTTACTACAGCATTTTGGTCCCCCTTTAAAGGTGGCTTAATTCTAGGTGACCCAGTTTTCTGCCACCAAACACTGAGCAGGGTTTGTGGTCATGAGGAGAAACAATAAAAGCGGCCAAAGACTACAATCTATCCAGCAAACAGTACTTGCACAAAAAGTGAGACTAGGCTAATAATAAAAAGCAACCAGGATGCATAATTGGCAAAGCTTTAAAAGTAAAGAGACACAGAATATTCTGGAAGCATGAGACACAAGTCAAAGAAGAAGACATAAAAGAGAATGGCTGATCAGCTGGGAGGAGTTGATACGTAAAGTTGATTCAAGATATCCTGAGGGATTTGGTCACAGAGGAAATATAAAAAACTATAACAAATTAAGCACGATTGTGCTCAAGAATGTGGGTGTGGCTTTGTAAAAATAGAAACTAATCCTTTGAGGTTAAATTTTATTTGTCCTTAGTTTTGACATTCTTCCATTAATGGTTTCATAATACAGAAACATCACACTATGATATTCCAACTCGTTAAATTTAGTGGCTGTTTGAATCCTATGTTTCTAATTTAATTTTCTGATAGGAAACCCATCCATTTGGCTGAAAAATAAGTGTACACGAAAAGTATATCCAGTTTTCAAGATGTTGCCTTTGGGAGAAACTGAGTAAGAGATACATGGGATTTTTATTATTTTTTTTTAACTGTGTGTAGATCTACAATTATCTCAAAATAAAAAGATTAATTTTAAAAAAGTATGGCAGGGAAAGTCTTATGCCCACCCTTATTTCCCATCTGCTATGGTCTGGCTAACCATGACCTCCTCCTTCCCTCATACAGAGATAAACCACTTCTATTGGTTTCTTTATGCAAGCAAATACAAAGGTATACTATTTCCCCCTCCATCCTCTCATCCCTGCTAATGGTAGCATATTTTGTTCTACATTTTGCTTTTCTCCATGTAACAACATATCAAAGATTTTTCCATATCAATGTATTAAAAGAGAATATTCTATGTATAGAGAGCTTTCTTTTGAGGTATTCTTTGGATAAACCATATTTATTTAGCCAGTCCTCTCCTGATGGACATTTGTATTGTTTCCAACCTTTGGTTATTAAAAAAAAGGCTATGAGTAACCTTGTAGATATATATTTTTGTCATTTTAATAGACAATGCCAAAGTCGCTCCATAGAGATTAATTTACTTTCCCACCAGTAACATACAAAAGCCTGTTTCCTCCAAGTCTCAGTAACAGAGTGTATTATCAAACATTTGGGCTTCTGCCAACCCAGTAGATGAAAAATAGCATCAGTGAGTTTGAATTTGAATTTTTATTCCATTCATGAGGTTGAGCATCTTTCCATATGTCTAAGAGCTATTTGCCCATTCATCCAATATACTGATGAATAACAATGTTACAAGAAAATATCTGATAAGGAAGCTGAGTTTGAACGTCATACTGGAGAGAGAGCCTCCTCGGGTTCTGGCTCTTATTTAACACGTAATCGTGAGGTCCGGCCTGGCCCTGGACCGGTGGCACAAGCAGTTAAGTGGGCTTACTCCGGTGCAGCAGCCTGGGGTTCACCTGTTCGAATCCCGGGCATGCACCAACGCACCACTTATCAAGCCATGTTGTGGCGGCATCCCATATACAGTGGAGGAAGATGGGCATGGTTTTTTGCCCAGGGCCAATCTTCCTCAGCAAAAAAAGAGGAGCATTGGCAGATGTTATCTCAGGGCCGATCTTCCTCAATCGCTCTTAAAGTGTTGTTAAAAAAATCAGAACATCAGATTGGTGGAATAATGTCATCACGTAAAAGGGGGCTCACCCTAAATACGTCCAAATCACTGACCAACCACCAATGACTTTATCAAGCCTTCCCCAAAGGTGATATGCCCTTCCCAAGGGGAAGGATAACAATACCTATTGTGAGTGCCCAAGAAATACTCATTCAACAAGTATTGAGAGCATTCGTGGGTCTTACATTCCAGTGAGGGAAGGCACAAATAAGTAAATCATACGGTTTGTTAGAAGATGATAGGCACTATGGTGAATAAGAAGACTGGATAAGGTGGATCAGGAGCATTAGGGTGACATTTTAAGCAGGGTGATGAGAACAGGCCTCATTGGAGATATCATCTGAACAAAGGAGGAGGTAAGGGAGAAAGCCTGGAGAAAGAGCATGCTGGCAGAGGAATAGCTGGTGCAAAGGCCATGAGGAGGAGGTCTGTCTGACGTGTTCAAGACACAAGAAGAAGGTCAGTGTGGTTGGAGGGATGTGGGGGGAGTGTAGGGAGGCACTGAGAGCAGAGACGAGTTACAGGAGATAAGGTCAAACATTTCTGAGCCAAATGGATAAATCTGGCATTATTCTCATCACTTCCTGATGCCTTGTTCTTGTCCACATCTTGCCCCTACCCCAATGACTTAGTTTTCTAGGAGAGGCAGAGGCAATCCAGTGCTCCAGCTGCTACCTAAGCAGAGAGAGCAGACAATCAACAAGCCCTAGACACATGTGGGCAAGCAATATATGTGCTTGTTGTTTGTAAGCTGACAGTTCCTGGCAACAAAAGGATAATCTCATGCCTTTTCCTCCTGTAATTCTGCTCTTCCTGAAGGCTTCTTTTCCTTGCTAAATTTAAAACTTTTTCCTTGGAATATCTGTGATTTGAGCATCTCACAAGTGGTTCATCTTGTCGACTCATTTCCGCATTTCTGAATGTCTTCCATTTCAAGTTCACCTTGGGGTGATATTAATCACAACTACCTCAGACACCTCTACAAAGACTCAAAACCTGCCCCCGACCACCTGGCCAATGCGTATCAAATATTATCTGCCCTTGACCTTCAGATCCAGGACAAACATGGCTACTATTTTCTCAATAAAAAGCATTACAGGGAGGGAAGCTTTTCCTTTTTACACAAGTCTAAGAAGATCTATCCCACTTCAGAATTGAGAGAAGCAAGACAATGGCACTTTGGACTGAGATGAGTCATGAGAAACCAAGCCCAGGTGTTTGCAGGAGCACAAGGCCTGATGGGAAAATCTCCTCCATACACAGAACTCCTCTTCTTGCGTCGGCAAAACCACCACCATTACTATAGACTTGCTTCTGTGCACTATTCTCCATATTGCTCTCTTCCTTGCATCTTTAAACTCTAGTCCCCTCTTGCCTCACATTCGTTTCCCCTTCCTTATCTACAAAAAACATTAGAGAACGTTGCTCACTAAACAGAATGGCTGCATCAGGGAGAGGCCCTACAGCCTCTACAATCCCTACAATCACAAAGTGGTAACAAACCTTGGGTGTCACCAACTTTATCCTCTCACCGACCAATACAGATCCAGAGGGGTCACACCACTTGGATAAGGATAGATCGTTCTAATGTTTAAAGAATGCCCATTGCCATGGCAAGGCACAGAGCTGGGAGCCATATGAGGAGAATCAGGACATGTGTCCTGGGCACTGATGAAGAGATGCTCAGGACAGGAGGCCAAAATTCATGAAAAATGAAATGGTATAATGACAACACAAGAGCGGTCACAAGTTGTTGACAATTTGAGGGTGTGACTTTGGGGGAACAGGACCCAGAGGGATCTTGGGCATCTCCATCCAGAAGAGCTTAAGCCAGACTCCCATAGACCTGGAGGTAGTATTTTTGGTATGGGACAGATCTGGATGTGACTTCTGCTCCCAGCTGTGACATCAGTGTCACATTGATGACATTTCTTTTTTTAAGACATTTATTTATTTATTTTTGTGAGGAAGATCAGCCCTGAGCTAACATCCATGCCAATCCTCCTCTTCTTGCTGAGGAAGACTGGCCCTGGGCTAACATCTGTGCTTATCTTCCTCCACTTTATTTGGGACGCCACGCGGCCTGACAAGCGGTGCCGCGGTACTTCGGGGCGCCCCCCGGGATCGAACCCAGGGCGCCAGCTGCGGAGCGCACGCACTTAACCGCTACGCCACAGGGCCTGGCCCCACGTGGGTGACATTTCAACATCTGCTTAAACTTTGTTTCCTTACATGAAAAATGAGCCATACGTCCACTTCACGAAGATGTTGGGAAGCGGACGTGAAACGTGAGCTGTTTTAGCACACACCTGGATCTGCCTCTCACACTCAGTAAGTGGCATCCATCAGGACCCATCCTTGTTTCAAAATCGCACAAGAAGCGTCTTCCAGAGATTCTGTCCCATACCCAGTCTGAAAGTTCTACACTCTATCCTGATCCCTTTCTGATGCCGCTCTGTTCGGTGTTCAGTGTTTAGGGTCAAGTAGGAAGTGCTCAGCTGCGTATCCCCTGCCTCCCTATACATCCCGGGACTGCCGGGAGCACCCTCTCCTCGCTGTCAGATCTCGGTCTTTTCCACAAGACGCCCCAGCTGGGTCTGGACCCCTTCGCTCTGCATCCGCAGCGCTGCCCTGCGTTGCCTCTGCCTGGTCCCGGGTCCTGCCGCCCACCCTGCCCCTCACCTGATGTAGGGGAGGAAAGGGTTGACGTGCCCGGAGAGCACCGCGACCACGTAGGAGATGATGAAGGCGGCGGACGACCAGGTCACTAGGAGGAAGGGGACGAAGGCCATTCCCCGCAGGAAGCACAGCATCGTGCCGCCGCCGGGAGGGCGCTGCGCTCAGCGGGGCCGGGGCGCGGGGCTGCTCCG